TTCCGAGGTTTACGTCAAAAGTTGTCTTATTCATCCCTTATCAAATTTCTGTGCTTTGAAGCTTGAAGAATTTGGCCTTGGATTGCCAAGAAAAAGATCTGTAAATTGGAGATGAACTAAGATTGCTTCACTTGGTTTAACTTATACAACCTTTGTGTCAAAAATTTATACACCCTTTGTTTAATGTATTTTGGTAGGTAGGATTTAACATTTACAATTGATAATGTGATCTTTAATTCCATTTTTGTACATCATTTTCTATTACAACACAGTTTTTCTTTGGTTATGTAATCGCTATTGCAGCAAGTTTGTCGTGTTAGAGTCTACAGATGTGAGCTCAGGTATGAAAGTGGAGGGTAATAAAGCAAAACTTGTAAACTGTTTGATTGCAAGAACGGAATTTGGGTGGAAAGAAAATGAATTATAGGGAATTGAATTGCCTAGAATTGTTTTCCTGGGAATTGCCAATTAATTGTGTTTGATTAGTATAATTTTCCACGTGGAAAATATTGAAATTCTGGATCTTTTGTTGTTTGTTTGGTTTTGTTTTATATGGAAATTGTCTATTAAAAGGATAGAATTTGTTACAATTCAAGGAAAAATGGGTCACGGAGGGGATAGAGTGGAAAACCAAGTCCAAGGAAGATTCTTCCTATCAAACAATGTAAAAGATGGAAAATGAAAATTGATTTCCAAGTTCCATGGGAAATTGGAGATATCAAAAAGGGGGCCTTAAGAGAAAAATATTTGTTGAAATGTATGTCTTAACATTTAAAAACAAAGTTTCTCACCATCTCTTTTTTTTTTTTTTTTCGGGTTGATAGTTGAACTTTTCTCATTACATGAATGGTCACCAAGTTTATAGTTTTATTTCACTCAAGTCAATTTCTTTCTTTAATTCTATCATAATTGATATGTTCGATAAGTGTAACACTTTAGCTGACAATAGTAACGTGAATGGCTACAACGGAAGTGACATAACTGAAACAAAACTATAAGTTTGGTGAGTATATTTGTACATAAAAAGTTAGGTAACTGAAAGTGAAACAAAAGTGATTAGACGGTCACTAACAAGTTGCCCATTTCGTGATCATCACAAATGATTCTTTCCTTCGAATACAAATTTCTTGCATTTGAATCCATAAAGCAAGAAATCATCATGAATACATTTGATACCCCAGCTAGAGATGATAATGTTTTTCAGTATTTGTTCATCTTGTTCTGGTAGTGTGTTAAAATGTCAATAACCGCGTAAAGTATTCATCTTGATACCAACATCATTTCAAATAAAAACAAGCAAGCAACTTGATTAGTGTGTTTTACACGCTTATATAGGATCCTAAATTAGTTTAAACGTTTATTAATTGAGTGAACTTCTATCCACTTTACGTTCTTTTGATTTTGTGGGCGAAATCACTGTGTAAGGATGATTTAAGGAAAATAAAGTGATTTTGAGCATTAAAGGGCCAGAAAATGAAATATTCGAGTACCCGGACTTGGACATGACAAAAGGTGGCTAAAGAATTGAAGAGAGAATCCATATGAAAAAGGTGATTGGAATTAACAATAAAGATGAGCAATGATGGATCAAACATCGGAAGGTCGAAAAAGCAAAATGAGGAAGCTATATGCCGAGTATGTGAAGAAATTAGAGCATAAAATTAGGTACAAAAATTTTCAC